GTGAGATGGAGAGAGTATTACATTAACACGAAATCACTTTTTAAAATACAGACTATTGAATTCACTTACTTTTCATGGTATACGAAACATGTGAGTTTCTTCTTGTATTTAAAAAGCAATCGGGTGTAACTAAAATGTAAAACTAAAGCCTATTTTGTTAAATGCTTGAAGAGAGTTACTTTTTAGCGTGAAAATGTGAACCACACGAATAAAGAAACGTGACTTCAGTATTAAAAAGAAATATATAACGTGACTTCCAAAATAAAAAAATTTCTCAAATTCTGAGCGGTCAAGTCTAACTCATTAAATAAAAGTATAATCATTGTTTTGTAATATGTTTACGTATTTTGTTACTTTTCATGATAATTTAGTTAAATTCTGAGCTCTAACATGTTTGTTAGAGAGCTCTAAATCTCTCTACTTTTTCTCTCTCTAGAAAGCTCTCTTCTTCTTCTGGTTAGATCTCAGATTTGAGTGGTCTTTCCGGTCGGCGACGTGGGCTTCCAAAGCCACGGCGTTGATCCGGTGTATATATATATGTTTAGTTTTTTTTGTTCTGTGTCTAATAGTCTAGATCTGGTTTTATCCAGATTCGGTTCCGGCGTGTTCCGGTTCTTTATCCGGCGAGATCCGGTTTTATTACCAGCGAGGTCTGGGTTTTTGTTTTGAAAGCTTCGATCTCTTCCCTGTCTTTGTCGAATCTCCGGTTTTCTTCTATACTTTTCCGTTTTCTCCTTTCTTTCGAGGAGTAATATCTTCATCATCAACCTTTTGCTCAAGTCGCCAACAGTTTACATCAGTATTTAGGTGTAGCAGTGATGAAGCTTCCCCGGAGAAGGTGCTTTACGGAGGATTTTAGAAGTGAGTTGAAGAATCTACTCGGGTGTTTTCGGCGAATATCTTTGATGGGTTTTGAGATCGGCAGGAGGGACGGATTCTCGGCGTTTCTAGGATGATTAGGCGGCTAATCGGAGTTTCGTTGGAAATCCGGTGGTGGCCCGGAGGTGCGGTGATGGTCCGAAGGTGCTTCATGGCGAGGTTTCTAGATGAATGTGATTGTATTTGGGCCGTTTATTTTGATGTAGCTGGGCTGAGCTTTTCCTTATGTATCTGCCCAATAGGCTTTTCTAAATAATATGGCCGACAAAAAAAAATATATATGTTTGTTTAATCTTATCTGTTTAATCTTACCCGTTTCTAGCAAATTCTCCATATATTAATTGAGTAGTATGTGCCATCTAATGAAGATTTTAAAGAATATGTCATTAAATTTAACTAATCAAAATATTTCAATAAAATTTATATGTTATGGTAAAATTTTCTACATATTTTCATTAATTTGTTTAACATGAATTCACAGATACATGTTAC